GAAATTCTTACTTGAATTAGTGGTCTGCACCCTGCACTGACGGTTTGAGTTATGTAAACAGCGCCCTCTGCAAAAAAATAATTATACAAATAAAAACGAAGCAGTCAGATACGTTTCACTGTTAGTGAATACCTACAGTCTAGTTAGTCTAGGTACCGCTCAAGATTTTTTCCTAGTGTACATAATACAACAATAGGCTGCGCCGACATCGATAAGTGATCAAAAGCCAGCCAACATTATAGGCCTACGGTGACTTGGGCGTCCGGTTAGTCAATCGTCCACTGATTAACTTGAATATCTTGTCTAAGAAAACTCAGACAGGATAGTTTACTGTTCATCTTTCCTTAAGAAGTTGTTTGTCTTCAGTACAGTACATCAGATGGCGGGGTTTGCAGCGGATAGGCATCAGAAACCTGTTTGATTCCCTCCACCAGTACCACTCTGCACCCACGCGCACTGGCGGTGGGACGGTTTAGTCATCTAGCCACATACAGCCAGCTGCCACGGCCTGTAGTCCTGTGGAGGACAGCTAAGACGAGGCTGTTTGTTGTCGATGAATCATGTCCAGCACTTCATCACCATGTAATTAGTCCTTCGCCTGTTGGTGGTGCACGGTGGGAGAAACAGTGTTGGTGTGTTTGTTGTGACATGCAGGCGAAGGAGATCATAATTTAGGCCTAGGCCTAATTATGAATTTTCAATGAAATAGCCTCTTTGAAATCTTGATCAACTCAGAGAATCACTGTGCCCTGAGATTGAGAAATTTTGTCTTTTCTTGTGGGGTGTAGTCACAAGTTGGATATGTGACCTTGAACAAGAAGCAGGAATTTAGTAGCCTGAGTACAATGTCAACTATGGCAGCATTGGAAGAATTCATGTCCCACCCGCTCGTTGTATGGGTAAGTGAAGTTGAGTTTAAATTTTGCTATTAAAAAAAGATTCGTGGGTAAACGTGGATTTTTTCAGGCCAGTCTCATAAGGTTTGCTCATGGAGTGTCAAGTGATAATGGTGTATGAAAACTCTTTCTGTAGCCTTGCTTGTAGTTTAAACTTTTCTCACAGAAATTCTAAGACCTCCTTTGTCTTTGTCTGAAAAGTAAAGAAATTTGTAAATTTTGCTATGGCAGGAAGGACTACCTAGGGTACTTTACCAGGTTGCATAATTTGAAACCAGCTTCTATACACAGGTACCCACCACACAGCCTGTATGCCACGGAGAGGCTAAAAAAAGTGCTTTCCAGACCAACCCTATTTTAGTGGTATAAACCTACTTGTTTTTGGAAGGAAAATGTAAGGAAAACTTAAATGGGAAGTCAAAGAAAATAAACAAATGTGTCTGTAGTTTGAAATCTGTGTAAAAAATTTCAATGGACTTATTAACAACTAGTGCCTTGTAATGAGGAAGTCGTGCTATTTAGCGTCAACAAGCATCAACTAGAATCAAAGCATCAACAAAATATCTAAGCATTTTTATGCAAATATTTCATATTTGCAACATTAGTCAGGCTCCTGCAAACCATATTCAATATATCATGTCATCGAAAATGGTACTTGAGTGTGGAAATTTGAGTGACAAATTCGGGCCTGCTCATGCAGCCTGACCCGCCGCCATCTTGTTTTTGCATGGACGGCAGAGTAAAGAAAGATGGCGGCCTCCATACATCGCAAAAAAGTTTTGTTTTTCTGCATGAATCTGGGAGCAAATTTGATGTTTCTCTTACACAGTGGCAGGTCTTATAGATTCTGTAAAATATGATAAAACCACTTTTAAGTCTTTAGAGGGTATTTTAAAGTTGTTGATGCTTTGTTGGCGCTAGTTGTGTGTGTTGACGCTTGTTGACACTAAATAGCATGACTGTAATGTGGTGTTCTCTTCATTGGAAACAAATGCCACCCAAATGCTCTTGTGGATATTATGTAATTTTAGCAAGTTTACCTGCTTATGGTGTCCTGTTTTTAGATGACATGTAATAGGAAGCAGAATCTTTTGTGGGGAGGGGCTTTAATAGGATCAAGAAAAGGATATTGAAGTACATATGCATGTACCGTTACTCGTTATTTATACAGTATTGGTGAGTATATTAACTTATTAAGTTGTTTCTTTTTGGTCACTCACAGGTGACGACATTCAAAGATGGCAGTTTGGATTATATGGATCTTGTGGATGGTGTCTTTCTGAATGATGTCATGGCCCAAATGTGAGTACCAACAAACATTCCAAGGTTGAAGTTACTAATTTTGGACTGAAAAACTGGCTTCAAGTAGCAGTTTTACTGAATGTACCGGTATCGGATAATTGGATGATGAGCTTGGAGTTTTTAATTCATCCCTTCTCAAGATGTGCAGAGTCATTTTAATCATTTTTATTTCAAGGAATTTGGCGTATTGTAAATCATTCAGTTTCTGTGTCATGATGCATGTATAATGCATTGGAATGCATGCATAAACATTTAGTTTAATATTTAAACCTTGTGTCCTACATCTCAACATCAACATTCCGTAAACGAACTATTTGAACATGTTGAACTTACCATTTCAGACCAGGAAGGAATCATTCCAACTATACTCTCTGTACATTTTACAGGTGTGTGAAAAGCAGAAACAAACTAAACCTTGACCTCAGTGTACCAACACAGGAGGGTTACCTTTTGTTATACCCTACCATGAACTCATGTAAACAAAATATTGGAACAACCTTGTGCTTTTTCCAAATGGACTGTAAGATACGTGTACATGTAGGGTCAGCTGGCCTCTCTGCTCAGATTTACTACTTCCACCACCCACTCCTCAATTAACCACCCTAGAAGCTCACCATGGTCTTGTGGCTTTTTTCGTTCAGCAAACGAGGACGTGGTGTTACTAGGGGGAAAGTGTTTGTCAGGTAGGCTGGCAACCAAAGGATTTTGACTGTCTCCCTTCACCCTAAATTTGTTGGACTGCACCACTCATGCTACTCAGTCTGTGGTGGTGATGGGTTTTAAGCTTTTCTCATTTGCCGATTTGTTAGAGCACATGTTAGCCATGGTCTCAATTGCAGTACAGTGTCTATAGGCATCTGAATGTTTTTGGAGCATGACCTAGATATGAGAAATACAAGGTAAGGTTTTCCGCGGCAGAGTACATGTACGTGTACCTACAGTATCCGTGAACCAGTGATTAACCAGTAGCTCGTTCACTGTAGTTGCACCCTTTCCAAGATACCAGATATCCAGTACCGCCCCCTTTCTTGAGTCAAGTGACAGTATCTGGATGTTCATTTGGTCCTTTACAAGATCTTGTATTGTTAGGGGCTGGTTTTACTGAATGTTATACAAGAATGTATGCCACAGTTTCTTACGTTATCCCTAACCTTCCCCAACCTCACAGAATTAAACAGCAGTAAAGTGTTTAATTCTGTGGGGATAGGTCTGGTAGGCCCATAACAGCTGGCTTTTGCATTGAGTTTGGCATACCTCAGAGAAACAAAGTCCAACAGCCTCTGTGCACCAAGTCCCATATTGGTGTTTAACTTTGTGTGAATGGGGAAGGTTAGGGCCAGCAACCCTTGGGAGGTTAGGGTTATAGGCATCCAAAACAGCTGAGAAACCTGTGGATAAAACCCCCTTTTCCTTGTTTCTTTTCCGAGGGAGCACAGAGTTTGCATTCTTGACTGCTAACTGTTAAGCTCCTCTTCAGTTACTGTTGTTTTTCTAAGTTTTCCGAATCAGAGCACTTCTGAAAGACACAGCTGATACTACAAATGTTGTTTTTCCTTGGGCCAAATATGTACATGTATGTAAAAGTGAAATTTTAGGACTATCTTGGGAAAATACTTCGGAAGAAATAGAATATGCGAAAGTTCTGTACATAAGCGTCACAAAGAGTTCTCTATGTATTGAACTAGACCTGCTGAAAAAAGACATCTTGGCATGATTGAAAATTACCGGTACATGTAATGCATCATGCATCTTTGATTTCAGCAATGTACCGGTACCTGTGGTTGAAATATTTTTCACGGGAGATGTTTTTTATCCTCGTATTGTGATTTTCATCACCATAGAAAGTTTGAAAACACCACATATTGTGCTTTTTCTCAGTAAAGATACTAATTGAGAAATTTCTTCCACATTTCTTCAACTGCAAATTTACGGTTGTCAGTGCGCTGGGAGAGAGTGGGCTAGGTTCAGTTCTGGAGGTTGTTTGTACATGTACATGCATGCCAGTACCAAGAGAAACTCCAGAGTAGAAAAATACCGGGTAAAAAGTGCCAAGTGCTTTGCCTGTAATTCAATAACTTGGGAAAATAGTTTCTCAGTGTGAAGTCTACCAGTACATTGCAGCTTCTTTCTCAAACTACATGTACAAAATTGCACAGTGGTTTATTGCTGCTGTACTGCTTTTACAGGCATGCTCATACATGTCCCTGTACATGTAAAATATTAGATAAGTGCAGGACTACAGGGATGGGTATAGGCCTGGAAACATGTTTACATGAAAGTACTACACATGTATTGACAGTACAGCAAAGCATACCAGTAAACTTGACAAAGTTGCTATTTATTGGTTTGTCCTTGGCTTGAAGAGCGGGGGAAAAGAAAAATTAATTTACAGTTTGACTAATAGGCCTGTATGTATTTGACATAGGAATTTGATTGCAATAGAAGGATTCCCCCTTCCCCCAAGATTAATTTTGGATGATTAATTATCTTGATGTGTAGCACAGTGGTCCCTGACCCATGCATGGTATTGTTTTGGTGCTGGAGTTTTTGTTTGTTACTTTCTTTCCGAATTCAATTTGTTTTCATGGCAAGTTTTTCTTCATCTGTTCACATATACGGTACGAGGGTACTTTTTAAAACCCCAAATTGCAAATATGCCGTTTGCCCAATTTTCTAGTGTTTTTAACGAAAGTGAAAGTCACTGCATGTTCCCATGGCTGTAGTAGTGTTTCCTGATCAGCTGGAAACAGCATTGCTTCTGAATGTAAGCCAAAATTGTGCATGGACTTGAGAAAGAAGGAGAATGATTTTGTTTTTGCATGCATCGTTGCTTTCAAGTTTGGTGCATGTCCTACTGTATGTAGTTCTGGAGTCCATTTTATTGCAACTTCAAGAGTTTTAGCCAGGAATTATTGGAGCTGGACCTCACCACATAATCCTTCTTGTGGTTCTATATCCTGGATTATTCCTTGTGGATTAAGAGATGAGTAACAAAGTCAATACGCAGATTAGAATGGATACTTCATTCTGTCAACTGGGCATACACATAAACAAGGATTACACAGTATTGCTGGTCAGCCATTTACAGAGCTCTTGATGTTGATAGGTGTACATGTACTTGTTCATTAATTACGAGTCTTAACTGCCTGAGTTATCTCTGTCAAAAATTCAAAACCCAACAATTTGTGGCTTGCATGAAAAAAGTTCCTGAAAGTGCAGCATCCTTTGTGAGCAAGTGAGAATTTGTTGTCGTGAAAGAATTGCAGCGAAATTTCGCTTGAGATGAAATATTCTCAACTTATGCGCATTCAGAGTGCGAATATTTGGCCTGATGTCACAAATTCGCATTTGTGTTCACCCCCCACGTCAAGCACATGTACATGTAGTATGAACCGGTCTTAAGTTAGATCAGCTGGTATGAAATAGCCAATGGTTAATGGAAAATTGTTCATGAACGCTGTACATAGGGTACAGTTGCATAAGTTTAAAAAATACACAACAGTACATGTAGTCCTACATGTCTTCCAGTTCTTTGCTAAATTTTTTAGTCAGCAAAAACGCCACATTACATGTCCTGAAATAAATTTCTGTGAATTTATCAAAGTTATTAACACAGTTTCTCCTTTAAACTCAAAGCCACAACCAATTAATCAAAGCTATAATTGCACCATTTCCCCTTAGTTGCCAAACCTTGCACTGGTACCTAAGGGTATGCACATTGTTCATTTGTACAGGTATGTACATGTACATGTACACGATGCCAGAGGTACCAGTATGGTATATGTGTGTACAATGTGTTGACACACAAAACCACAGTGAATGCTTGAGTTGAGATACTGACTTGCCTTGCCAAGTCCACCTTTTTTACACTGCAAAGCCTGTATGGTTTCTGAGCAACAGAAAAGATTCCAGTATGGGGCAGGCCAAGATAAGATCTCTACAAATTTAGCAGGGACCATTAATAATGGTTGGCTTGTGATACAGGAACATACAGTACATGTACATGTAGTTTGTAAAGAAATCAGCTTGTCGTTTACATCATGTATCAAAGTTTCATTCCACGTTGGGTTTATTTCTGTTGGAGGTGACTGTCATTTGTAACAATTGGACAATTCACCCACCCATAATTTTTGTAAACAATCTACATTTTACATGTGCATGTATACATGTACTTGCATAGGCATGCTCTACATTTTCATGCATACGGGTACATGTAATGCAGAAGGTTACTTTTTCAGAAGACATTTTATCAAGTGATTGAAGGGAATAAGTTTTTACATTACATTTTGCGTGGGCATGCACCTGGTACATTAATAAAATAATCACACATTTTGTGTGTTTGTCATTCACTGACACTGACAGCAAAACGTTGTTGACAGCTGCTTCGTTGTACGTAACAAGGTCAAAACAAAAGGGAATTCATGAGTTTCCTAAAAGAACAAATACATGCACAGTTTTTCCCATTCTACCAAATTAAATTATTTCTTAAGAGATCTGTATGATATGCATTTGAGTCCATCACAAGTCCTGTCACGAGGCCAGTAGAGCTATTAAATATGGCTTTAAGTAGCTGGGGGAACATTGACAAAAGAATGCTTTTGTCAAAGTTCATTAGAATGGCTTGTGAATTAGCTTGAGACAGAATGACTTGTGATAGGCTTACAGGGACTTGTGATGGACTCAAATATAACACGGATACATGTATCACGGGCCATGCTAATAAATCATTGCCAAGACCATGATTCAGTGAGTTTCAGTTTTGATGTTTACCTAGGCATTGTACATGTACATTATGTATCATATGAATACACATCATGGAGGCCTCAGTGCATTGTACCTCCATGTACAGGTACATTTAGTATGATCAATTTTTGTACTTCCGTTATGTCTTTCTTCTCCAGTGACCCAAGACCCAATGCACTGAAGGTCAACCGTGAGGTCAACGGGGAAGTCAACCTGAGGATCCAGAATCTGGACACGCTGATGAAAAATATCAAAGCATTTTATCTGGTAAGCTTGAGAAAATTGCATCAATTGCCAGCATGGAAAATTTTACTTGAGTTTTGCTTTGTCCTGAACAAATGCCTTATTTGATTGTCCTGAATCCTCCCATTTCAATATAATTTTACCGGTACATTCACCCTAGAGCATTAGGGTTTTAATACCCGCACCACCTATCTGCATTGGCCTTTAGGCTTCATTTGACAAACGTTTTGAGTTTGATGCAGCAGACTTCATTTCAGTATCCCCACTTCCTCTCTCTGCCTCTCCTGTTTGCCAAATTTACACATACCTGCACCATTCAACTTGGTTCTTCTTGTACAAAAAAAGTATCATTTTGATCACCCTTGCCCAGCGTACGACCCCTTGTATCAATGTTTTCCTTGGGCCTTGGCAGGAAAACAGAACATTACTTTGTGCTGCATTCATTCACAGATTTCAAGGGGATGTCATTAAATTTTAAATATTTTGCGGGTTTTGCCCTTACCTGATGTATAAATTAATAAACACTGTAAGCTCAGTGATGTCAGTCAATTTGAACTGGCTGACTTCATGTAAGAATCAGTAAAATCCAATGAAGATGGTCCAAGTGAAATAAATAAATTAGTGAATGTGGAAATTACTAATTTACATACATGTACATGTACATGTAGACCTGGAAAAACAATGCATAAGCATACTGTATGTTTTTGTTTAAAGTAGGATTATGACCATTTTTTTGTTTCATATTTCTCATTTGATATGAATACAGTGAGCATGTTCACCAGTTTGTCATTATTGTATATATTTTCGTATGTGCCAGTGTAAGCATCAGTACCAGTAGACAGATGCACGGTGTGGTTTATGCAGTGGCCCAATTGCCACTATAGTTTGCCTCATTAGTGAATCCACTCCAGTACTGGACTATATTGATTGACGAGGAGAAGCCTTCACAGCCTGTAAGGGGAGATGTGCCATTTGCTGTGACCCAATTACACTGGAAATACTCATAAAGTACCACAGCATCAAGGGAACAGTTGATGTATTCATGTCATGTGTTCAAATGGAAATGCCACAAAAAGAAGAAACACATAAGTATATGATAAAGTGGCTTGGTGAAGTTTGGTTTATATTTTTAAGTTTATATACCACATGATTACCATTACCGACTGAGAAGAACTGGTTGTTAATAGGGCTGTGCCGAATATCTGAATGTTTGATCAATTATCGATTTTTCAAATATTATTTTCCAAATCTGAACGCAAAATTCATGAAAAGGAAGGAAGACTTTTCTTTTGTTTTAAATGAGAAAAATTGCATTATGGAGGCATGTTTCAAGCAGCTTCAAATGAAAAACGACAGAGATCTTACAACGATTCAAAAAGTAAAATATTCATTAAAAGATTTAAAAGGAATAGAGATACTCTTAGACATGAAAAGCTATTAGTGATTATGATGTGAAACTGTGTGTGTTATTGCAGCTGTTTTTGTGTGGTTTGTTCATCAACAATCTGCCAGTTGGTACCACCAAATTTCTGATATTCGATCGAATTGAAGGTCGAATATTCGAATAGTGAATTATTTGAATTGACTCAGCACTAGTTGTTAACAAGCTAATCGACAGAATGAGGTGTCAGTAATCACACATTGCTTGTTGTTGATTATGGGCATTATAATAAGGCTCTGCTCACTGTAGGCAAGCGGAAGAGCGTGGCCCTCAACATTGCTCCAAAGCATTGTTTCAGAAATCCTTGGTTAGCAGACATGAAGTGGAGTCCTGGCCTTTCCACAATTGAGATTTCCAAGTCTGAATTGATTTGGCATTGATAGTGTGTGTGTGTGGACATTTGTAAGTATTTCTGGTATAATAATTCACAAATTTAATCCTTTTTTTCAGTAAGCCAGACTTTCACTATTGATTTCTTGTTAATCCCTAGCACCGCAGTAGAAACTTTATTGACTAAGCACACCAGCTGCTCGGCATTCTTTCAGTTTAAACATCAATGAATTCACACATGCACAGATCGGCACATGTATGGCACACTTAAGTTGAATACACCAATTTTATCACAATAGAAATAAATCACACATACTGGGATTTCACTTTGTGATTTTTAAACACCCATCTTGTTCTTTTAAAGTACATTTACATACCAGGTAATGAACCATTGGACAATTAGAAATCTAGAAATGGAAATTTTATTGCAGGAAAGTCCTTCAGTTTCTCAATTTCTTCAAGTGCATTAACTGCATGGATGCAGTCCTAATACATATACATGTACATATATTGTACATGTACCGTGGAACGCAACTATAACGAACACGATGGGGTCCACGCTAAATGTTCAGTACTGCGGTTGTTTGGTATAGTGAATTTAACTGCCGAACGTTTTGTTGCTATGTTGAATAGCGCCCTGTCTTGTTTAACTGAAGTGTACCCTCTTTTAAAACTGTGGTTCGCTGTTTTCTCTGTTGATTTGTGTATCAGTGGCGCCCTCTTTAGACTATTGTCAGTGCAGTGCCACGGTGCACATACCGGTACGTGCGGTTTTCTTCCGCACCCGATCATGCGGAGTCGCAAAACCAGTGTCTATTCAATACCGTTAGCAAATAGTGGCTTTCCCTTAACTAATCCTTGGGAAAATAATGGCCACTTGTCACTCTCCAACATAGAAAACACCGACTGTTTTATCATGTTGACGTTCGGGAAAATTACAAATGGCAACTGAATTGTGTTTGGTAGGTTCTGTGTACAACTTATTGGGAGCCAAGGACGATGTTCGCTACAGCCGAATGTTCAGTATAGCGGTGTTCCTCTGTAATTGGGTTAACTTATGTTCACAGCATTTTCAGCTTTGGGTGACTGGTGTAATTTTGGACAAGAGAACTTCATGTACAGGCTTTTAAGGAAACTTATATCTCGGCACTTTTGCTACAAAGCCATTGTTATTTGTGACAAAATATTTCTGGGACTAGGCTTACTATGGAACAGTCAGGTACTGTATAAGTGCATATGCAAGTGCAGGCCTTTACGTTGTCACATGATGTAGCGAAGGGTGTGGGAAACCTGTTCAGCAATGATGGGATAGGGTTGAGAACACTGGCGTAGTTCCTGCCTGGTAAATGTACATGTATACATGTAGGTACATGTATTGTCACAATGGTGGTCTCCTTGGTTGAATGGTTGCATTGTCCAGCAATTACTGTATTGTGATAGACTGCCTACCCTGTGTAGCTTTGCACTTGATCTCAGGGTCACCGACCCATCCGATCTTGTCAAATCCCATGTGTCTGTCCAATACCATGTGGAAATATAAAGAGACATTTGGGTGTGTACATGTACATGTACCAGTGCATATAATGTGAAACCCACAGCAGGTGGCCCTCATGCACAGTACTATGCTTTGGGCAATTACATGTACCTGTGTAAAAGGATGTCCAGATAAGGGTAACAGTACACCAATACATGTAGTTGTGACTTTTGAACGGTTGTAAAAACCTCTTTGTACATGCACTGTACATGTATGTATTCATGTACATGCACATGTATGAAAACCTACATGTATATTAATCCTCCTATGCGAAGACACATTCTTGAAAAAGTTGTCCAGTCTATCCAAATCAGTCCAGTGACCCCAATGTATCTGTGTACTGTGGTAAATGGAGTGGGAGGAATTTTTGACTGTGACAAAACCGTAGTTCAGATGATGAACTACAGTAGATGTGTGCACACATATGCATGTACCGGTACATGTACATACCTTTTTTGTTTCAATTAACCAATCAAACGCTACCAGCCTGTTTCCAAATCCTGATCCCAAACTGCTAGCTGTGAAAGGTGTCTGTTTGTTACATGTACATGTAATTGTCCTTCCTTAGACCAGAGATAAAAATGAAACTTGACAATATGCAACACAAGAAGAGCAATGATAGTACTTTGGCTTGGCATCAGGGAGATGTTAATTTTATACTGGCTTTTTCTACCCTTATACACTGTACCAACGAATATTTCACTGTATTCTAAGCGTGGTCCGAGGGGCTCCCCCCTCCAAAACTCTTGGGCCACGCTGAGGATACGGCATGAACACATGTACCCCTGATGAATAGATACAAGATATGTGTTGGAGTGGTCGAGGACGCCATAAAGGTAAGCCAAATGAGACCAGCGAAGGATTGTGGTAATTCATGTGTGTGAGGGTAAAACTTCTATTAAAAAATGATGAGAACGACTTGACATTTAAGAATTAATTGCTGAAATTTCCCCAAAGTAACGTGGGTTGACATTTTTATGATGACCACTTACTTTCAATAATAATTTACACAGATGAGACATACATGTACATGTACCGGTACCTACACAGTGCATGTACGGTGTAAATGTAATGGTATTGTTAGATTAATTGTTTTTTCATACTTATCACTGTGTACACCAAACAGAAAGGAGGCGATGTTGCTGAAGTGTGGGTATTTCCAGAAATTAGGGGTCCAACAGTGTGACATTTTCGTGTCCCTGTTACATCTCACCTTTGTTATTTGACATGTAAGAATTATCACCAGAATTGTTTTGCTTGGCAGGTAGTTTGCATTAATTCATCACTCTTGGAAATTAGAAAATGTGTTCTGAACTTACAAATCATATGTCAGATGTAATTGGGACACCAAAAAAATGGACCCCTAATTTCTGGAATTATCTTTATCCCCATTTATTACACACATCTCAAGTAAATACATGGAAGTATTAACCCAAACAAACAACTGAATTTGTTAGGAACTTGACTCTGTGTATACATTAATTCCAGTAGCCTGCATTAATTTCAGTTATGTTTTTTTATTAGTTAAACAACTGCTCATTGCTTTCACTCTGTGTATTTTATTAATTTATTAAACTGAATCAGTCGTACAACGAAAAAGCTTCAAAGCTCTTAGCGGGTGAGGATCCGTATGCTGAGATGGTCTAATAACCACAGCCACCCAACCAGGGATTGTAACCTGCAGTGCTTTCTGTAATCTGTCTGGCTTCGTTAAGGCGT